CCGTGGTCGGCAACACAGCCATTCTGTTCTGTACTGACACGGCCTCGGAGTGGGTGGTAGCCGCTCGTGGTATCGGTCGTGTATCCAGTCGTCCATCATGTTTCTTCTCCTGGGCCACTGGGACCAACGCCCATCTTTCCGGCCACGCCGCGCTGTCTTGCTGGTAGTTATCGTCAACGCGGGCTCTGTCGGGGCCCTGTACCGAATTATGTTCACATCCCCACCACACTTGCTGGCTTTCACCGCCTCTCGCTGATCAAGATAGACAGGCTAGCTCGACTGCTCGTTCAGCATTGCCCTCGTACAACTTGTGTGGTCGGTTTTCTTGCCCCCAATATCCGGCCGATGAGACGACAGACCGGATTTTAGCCTCGTGCTTGCACGACTTGATTCTTTCGCGCCATCATGAAGAGTGGATATGTATTGATATATTTTTCGATGGCGCGTCGCATAGCATTGTCTCTGATCCTCTGGTAAAGAGCGAGCGATCCGGCGAGAATGGAAGCAATGGTAGGGAAATGTTTCGATCCGCCGCGTTTCTCAAAAATTGCTATGAATGCGGATCTGATACCTCCTCCGAAGAGCCGTAAATGTGTCAAGATAAATGCTGATATATCCAATGGCCGTAGGCCTGGCCTTGGCTATTGAACCCTGTGCTCTAAATCGCGGAGCAAGTAGACACGCCAGGAATCTGGCCTTCAGACAGTCAGTGTCAGTCTAGCAGTCGAGGAGATATAACCCACCTACCTCAGTGTCTGCGTGAATGATAAGGAATAGCCTTTCAGAGGAGAAGGAACTGATTGAGATCAAGACAGTGAATCGTAGGCAATCCTGGTTCCGCAAAGATTGCATGACGATGAGCTGGTTTGTTTTGTCATTACCTGGGCGGTGTTCACATTCAATTTGAAACGGACCACTATGACGAGCTGGTAGGAAAGTCTTTGTTCGGGGACTCTACACAGCAGCGGTGCGTGTCAAACCTCCCTTGATTGTTTATCGGGTGGAAGACCAGGCTATTCAGATCGTCCTGGTCCAAGCCGAGGACACGATGTTGCGAATTTTAATGGTACTGTCACTGCTTCCTGCTTCCTGCAACCCAGCAAGGGCAAGTCATGATTGATATCAGGATCGTGGCCTTGTTTGCACGACTTTCGTATACGTAAATAGTAGAAACGATGTCCTGGGTGGGAGCATAGGCAAACTACGGCAATCCAGGCCACCTCCCTCACCCACAGTGGAGTTACCGGTACCGGTACCGGTACAACCACCACTGAAAATCACTAGTATATATGTTTTCTCTCTCCAAATCCTGCCACGCAAAGACCCCCTTTCTTACAACAAAGGGCGAATCCACGAGTTCGAGTCACAGTTACGGCAAATCCAGGTCCTGTCAGGTCAAACCTAACACCGGGTTAGCGGGCATCAGGACCTCGATTCGAATCCCTCCCTCCGAGATTCCGACGACCATCAACCACGTAGTAAAAATTTCCGTAGTAAAACCGGGCGAGAAAAACCAACTCCGCAAGGAGCGAGTTTTCCTTATCACAGACCAGTCGGTTGAGCTGTTCTGTGATAAGTTTTTGCCATTTTGGTGGGAGGGTCTGAGGAGGCATTTTGTTTTTGCCTTTTCCTCCTGAATGTTCGTTCGTGTGTGATTGTGATGAAACATGCTGAAGTAGGTTGTCCGAACGGGTCACTGCCCTGGAGATTTAACATTGGGAGATTACGGGCGTCGTGTAGTTTTTGAGCGTGATGCATGTTGTCAATCACTGGCACAGGCAAGTTGGCTTCAATTCAGCTGCATTGTTGTTCTGGATGTCTCTGCTGACCTCTTTCTTTTGAACCACTGCGGACAAGTTATGCCGAGCACGGTGGAAAGAGCCATCGGCATCCCTCGCAGATCTTCATCAGTGAATATTCCACGAGGCAATTGTGCTTTTTCACTGCAAAAGTCTGTGGGTTCCCTGGTCAGTTATGAGGCAATGATGTGAAGAGCCACGACCAACCAACTGCTTTCCCTTCACTCTCCACGAATCTTCTTGTTCTTTTGCTGACGTCTTCCCGACTTTCTTCCCTCTGTGCTCATCCACAATTCCGACTTTTGACACCACGTGCTTCAGATATCGACCCCCTCGCTTCTGATACCATGGCCTCTCACCTCCTTCTTTCGCTCGCCATCGCTCTATTCACGTTGCCCATGCTCGGCATCCAGCTGGAGGCAGCGCTCGTGAATATTCCCCCAGAGATTGCATACCGGATGCAGGTTGCCGTGGATGACTGTGTGGCACTCGCGACATTCGTTTCGGTGACCTTTGACGAATGCGACCCGGTATACCTGCGATTCTTCCCCCATGACGATGCCGCGTTTGTTCAACAAGTCTTTCGCCGAATCGCCAACATCCCGCCAAACGTGGTACTAGGCCCATCTGACTTTGCCACCATCATGCAACACCGCGCTGCCATCGGCTTAGATCCACGCCTGGTGGATCTGGTCATCACGTACGGCAACCACCCGCAGGGCCAGATCCAAGACTGTGGGACCGACGAGGACCCTGAGGCGTTCTTCGCACTGCTGAATTCAGGCCAACCCTCCGTCAGCATCTGCCCGCAAGCTTTTGAGAGATACCCGGACCTCATGGAGATATTAGACCCACCCGCTTGGGCGAGAGATGCACAAGGACACCCGGACCCGGGCTTCGGATGCGATGGCCTGGGCGACCAGGACTCGGAGCTCATGTGGTGTGTGGGCGCAATATTGCTGCACGAGATCCTGCACTATCCGGACCTCTTCAACGACATCCCCCAGTTTGACAAGCTGATCAACTTCCGCGGACCGAGACGGTCGATCGGTGACTTTTCGGGCCCCAGTCCCCCGAACGGTTACGGCCCGTATTACTCTCGCGTCCTGCAATTCCTCTCTGCTGTCCGGCCCGGTGACTACGGACCGCATGAAGCCATCAACAATGCAGACAGTTATGCCACGTATGCCTTGTCGGTTTGGTGGAGGTGGAGGTGCCAGAGGCCTTTTCGGGAGTCGGTCACGTCGATGGACGCTTGGCTTCGAGATCCGCCTCCACGGCCTTTTCCACCACCACCACCACTACAACAGTAATGGCACAGCAGGAAGTGGATGACGCACCGACGAGTAAAAGGATCAAAGATGCGTGGAGTCGAGCGACATTGAGACAGACGTGGGTTGTTGTTGGTCGATGATCAAGTACTCAGAGCGACGAATGACGGGTATGTTTGTCTGTTTCGCTTACTTTGGCGCAGAAGACCATAGATATGGGGAAGACATGGACGGTACATTTGTATTAGCATCAGGCTTGAAAGAAACAATAGATATGGAATGTGACATGGGCGGTACATCGCGTCAGTATCGGGCTCGAAAGCTTTTCAAAACAAAACACAAGGAAGAAGAAAGAGTGACCGCCAGAAGGAGAAAATTATTACTTGATCATGTAGGAATATCAATATACCTTGAATCCAATCACTTTTCCACTATTGCTTTGTAAGTAATATGTGCTCGGAACCCCGTCCTTTTGCATTGTATCAAGGAGATGGGTATCCGCAGGAGGGAAGGGAGGGTCGTGTTGACAAGACAGCTTGACTCCCCAGTGCGCAGTGATCAGATCCCTCGCCTCGCGGTGGGCCAGTAGGCATTGATTAAAGCGCGAGTTGAGATATGGGCGAATTTGTCGTGCCGTATAGCCACCATCCTACTCACCGGCAAATCTTTTGACCTCTGGAAGCCTGGGAAGCAGCTCGCTAATAACTGACCCGAGTCATGTCCAAGCCACTCTGATAAGGATCCCCCAGTACGGTTCGTAGTCCCTAAACCAGCCCTGAAAATTGGCCTTGATCGTCCGAGGTACGAGGGCTCGACGGACCATTCTGTGGAGGAATCCCAGTTGTATAACACCATCTTCTTGAGCCCATGTCTTGTCTTGAACTCGTGCTTTGTCTTGAAACCTTCTCTTGTGGCCATCAAACCAAGACCTTTTGTCCGCTCCAGCTCGCCGGCAGAGCTTCAGAAGGCCGAACCGCGGGTCTGTCGTCATTCCGACGTCCGTCCGTACGTTGAGGGTACTCAAGCGATCTTGCAGACGTACAAAGGTGGCATCTCAGGCTCTTCGCTGTGCGGTGACCAAGGAACAGAAAGGAGGAGGGGGGCTGGGAGGGTCCCTTTGCGCCGAAAATTGGCCGGACGGTCCTTGTCATGCCCAGAAAATGGACAGGAAGGAAAGGACGGCCTCGAAGAGGGGCGCAGCCGGAAGCAAGTCGTCTTGAAAGCATCCTGCTCGGGGCGTTACCCTTTCCTGCCTCCTGCGGCAGCAAGGCATACAGAAGGTCAAGAGTCTTCCAGAAAGTAGGTACAAGATGAAGAGAAGAAAGAATGTCCTTCACGTGTTTGTCCACGTGCTGAGTGGGAAGACCAGCCTTGTCGTTGCTTGTCACGTGCATATTCAGAGATTGTGTCGATATAAATATCCGCCGCGACCTTTGTTTTGGTATCATTTTGATTTCGTCCTCCTCACCAACTCGCGACAGAAATGCAGAGCCTTCCTCACCGTCGCCGCAGCGATGCTGGCCCGCAAGCCGCAACACAAGCCCAAGCCACTACCACAGACCCCTGTCACGTCGCTGCGACAGAAAGACCCGCTTTGTCCTACATGCAGTGTGACACCACAGGCAGGCCCCCTAACACGTTGCCTTGTTCGGACCACTCTACTTCCAACTTTTTGGATCACCCCCTCCCTGTGCCTGTCATTTTCAAACAAGTGCATGACCGCCAATCTGGACGAGTTCCAGGCACTGAATGGAACACATATCACGTATCCCCTTCTGAGTGGGCGACCCTCCGAGAACTTCTTGAAAGCAGTGACATCTGGGACAAGCTACGGTACGCACAGGGAATCACCACCAGCTGAATTGTAGCTAATGTGAAGATATTCTTTAGGGTCAACTATTTCTCCCAAACCCAAACCTTTGTTCATCAAATGCCTTGCCTGATCCATGACGTGGCCCGCGGGGGGTTCGCCAAGCTCTTCTACAGAGACCTTGACTCGATATGCCGCGACACGATGGATGGGGAAGCGTTCATGGATCAGGTTACGAGCCGCGGCTCCAGCGATGTGGTGAGCATCCGAGGCCCGGGCATGCATCAACCAGATGATTGCTTCTGTTGTTTGGACGATTACTTCTATGGTGTTGTTCTAGAGGTGGCATATTCGCAAAAGTCCGAGGAGCTCGAGAAATTGGCTCAGTTCTACCTGTTCGAATCCTATCTGAATATTCGAAAGGTCATTGGCATCTCCTTTGGCTACTTTCGGTCCAAGCGAATCACTGTGCACGTCTGGAAACGCGACAATTCTGGTAAAACCGCCAGTGGTCAACTTCGACACTACTCCCGAGTCAGTATCTCTGTCACGGCTTTGCGATAGCGTCACTGACCTTGGTGCCTAGGAAGTGCGAACCGAGGCCGGCGCGCAGGTCCCTGGTCCTCCTCTCAAAATTTCTGTGTTCGACATAGCACCCCCGGCTCTCGTACCGTCTTCGCTCCATGGCGCAACTATCCAGATCCCGCTGGACAAACTCTGTCACTACATCGAGAAAGCGGAGCTCGCAGACGCGGAAGTTAAGAAGAGGATGGAGGCACTACAATCTCAGCGTTTGAATGGCTTGGACCGCGGTGATGATGACTCTTCCCAGGAGAATGAGGATGAAGATGGCGCAGGCACAAAGACACTTGATGAAGATTATGTTCCAAGCCGAGTCGGTCGCAAAGACCCTGAGTCAGGTCGGTCTCCAATCCGAACCCGTAGCCGGACTAGCGGCGCATTCAGCGACTGATGGCGAGGGGATCCGTCGACATATCGAAGCGACTTTGTAGAAGCAAGTGCTGGAGCTTCTGGTTGAGAGAAACTAGGCGAAAGGTGAATGGCAGGGCGGTTGCTCAGGTTCTGCCGGCGAAGTCTGGTCTGGGAGTGACTTGCGGTTAGATGGCGATGGCGTGGTGGACACGACGACGGTTGGATCTCGCGTCCGACGCTCGACAGCGCCTACTGGCACCGGTAACACTGTGTATCTCTTCCCTCCATACACAATGAACAACCAAGATATTTCTACTACCACTGCTCGGATCGGACTTTGATGCATTTCTGAAGAACGCCGTGCCCAGCCAGCGGAAAGGTTTAAGCACCACAGTGAGTCGTCGTAAACCGTCGCCATTGTCATCGCCGTTAATCGTGACTGAAAAGGGTGAGCCAGACTAAACAGTACCATATACCATATTATAAAGTAGACTGAGAGTAAAAAAGATCCGGTGAATGACGGGTCTCTTGGAATCGAAATCGACAGTGAGCGTCATTCTTAAGTACTGTATACCAAACGGCTTTCCATGCCACATCCATCGCAAAAAAAGGCAGAAAAATAAACAATAGCCATCTTGTGTGTTTCGCTTATTTTTCACTCTCATCTTCGCCCTCTTCATTCGTCGTGTTTTTTCAACCACCCATCACGGAGGTTTCTCCGCCTGTCCATATCTGTGAACTGGCGCCGGTGGACAAGTGGACCCCGCCGCTGCCGCTACAAGACTAATCTACTTAGATTGACAGGACCATGGCGACCGGGTGACATTAGCACATTTGTATTTGACCAAGATAATCGTGCAGAATCGATATCCCCTTTCAAAAGTAGCATCAGAAAGCCAACCATTTCGCCTTTGGCCATAGCGTCCGAATGGCCGTCCTCATGGCATCGACAGCCACAGACTCTGTCCCTCTGCTGTGTGATGAGCATGACTCGTGAAAATCAGTCGTGGTTGCAGTCCCGTGTCCGGGATACATCCAAGAAGCAGGCTTCAGCCTGCGATCGTCTCAATCAGGTCAATGCGTTGTCTTCTCGGACACTCGACTCGTATTTCAAATTCTTTTATCTGTACTGTCGAATACATAGAGTTGAACAAACCCCAAAGCATTTGTCGCGTCTCCTGGAATCTTTCATCTTGCCACTGCCTTGCTAGCCCAGACAGGGACGGCACGCGACAGTGGAGTGAGTCACGAAATCGAGACCATCCTGCCGGGCTGGGCCTCTTGCAGACCCAACTCTCACGTCACGGTTTGTTGGTCATGGTCCTCCAAGTAGATGTGGCAGAAGCAGACGACGATTTTCGGTTGATATCCATTTGAGGTGTGAAGTTGGAATTCATCCAATGAAAACACAGTTCCAGGAACAGGCAGGCAGACAGAACAGTCGACCTTGGCGCTTTCAATCGAAAAGGGGCCGAGGAATGGTCCGTGCGCTGCTTGAACAATAGTAGCTAATCACATACATCTTGGTTGGATGATTGAGCATTCTCAGTGAACGCCGATGCATGCGTGCTGACTGACTGACTGACCAAATACATGCGGACAGAGGGAATATCTCGCCCTGTCTGACCGGTTAACTCGAAGGTAGACGAGTAAGTCGAGCCGTCCTGATAAATCAAATGATATACAGCGGGCTTCTCTCGTCCTTTCCAAGGTCTGGACCTGAGTTGCTCCCCGCAACGCTGGAATCCCTTGTCAAAATCCGGCATCTGCATGCATTCATCATGCAAGGTGAATTCGTGGGAGGGCCCGGACCGCAGTCCTTCGTCCTTCCCGGGTATAAAGTTGTCCAGAGGTCTTCCCCCTCCAGAGGCCCAGAGAGTCCTCTGCTTGATGTTTGAAAGATTCTGGCCATTCACCATCTCATCTGGCGCAGCTCTCGAGGTAGTTTCACCGAAAATGTCGCTAGCGGTGACCAAAATTTCAGACATCGATACCTTTTTCAACGTCTCTGGAGAATTACCACTGATTTCCCTGGATTCTTCGGGGGAAAGAAAATTTGAATTTGTCCTTGTGAATTCCGCATTCCTGACGGGCGGCAGCGAGTCCTGATTGACCGTACGGGGAGTAGGCTTAGATGACAATTAGGATGGAGAAGCTGTTCATCTGCTGATTGATCAGTCTGTTAGACGAGCACCACAGGCCCTGGATCGTCTGCACGTACTTGTCCTTATACACGGATAAAAGCAGTCCGCGTGGGTCCCTTCATCACCCTGTTCTTTGTCGAGCACGCCAATAAGGCACACGAATATCAAATAAGCACTCTTCTCGTACACAAAAAACACACACAAATGCCAGATCTCAGAAAGCAGAGCGTGGGGGGGATACAAGGGTCCAGATTCGCCTTATCGATCATAAGCGCCAATACGATTCACGCAAGGGCAGATTCCCAGACGGGGAGGATGATATCTCAGAGTTGTTGACATCGGGATTCGTCGGTGCTGTTCCATTCGGGATCAGTTGCCCGTCCCATAAGTCTTCTCGAAACTCACACGAGCGATTGTCGCTAGCCGTCAGTGTTGCTGTTAGGTACGGCTGTTTCGATGTGCGATTGAACTGAGGAGTTGTAGTACCAAGGACCAACCAAGGTGTTTCTTAGTCAACAGCGAGACCGTGCCGCATCGCAGGGACCGGAGCGCAGGCAGAGGCTAGTCTCGCCGCGTCACGTCGCGTGTTAGAAAACGACATGCGATTCGATATGTTTGTGCTAGTCGGGCAGAGAGGGCCAAAAGGCGATATTTGTTAGCTACAAATCATGAGATGCTGTTTGGAGACCTTGATTGAACCCCGAATGGTCCGACCCCTTTGTCTACATAAATCCCATGTCTAATTCTGTGTTCAACACCACATATTTGTACCGCTGATGTATATTCTGACGCCAGATGGACTGATAAAGGTAGAGAATCAAACGCTTCCTGATCAACGAGGAAGAAATTTCCGTAGCTTTCCAAACTTCCCAATTACGTGACATGAGCGCAGCCTCACCCTCGCACCCGCAGCCTTGTCACTGAAAGCCTTGCAAGTATACAAAACCACCCGGCGAAGCTCCTGTATAGCAATTTTGAATCAGAAACAGAATAAAGGAATAAAGGACCTCCAGTGTGTTATCGAGACAGTACCCCATTGAGGAGGGGGATGGCCCTCCATCATGACTTGATGTGATCGTTGCAACGTGAATCAGTAGTGAACTTCATTCACCCTCTGTAGTTTTCCCAGAAGCTGTTCGCTAAACCTTCACTTCCTCGCCTCCGTCACACATCACATGCTGGAGGGGAGTCCCACTTTTTCCAAACAAGTGTTATTAATTATAACCGTGAAATCCCCTCCAACAATTGCCGGATCAGGTCTGCATCAATCTGTAACACCAAAGTTCAGGGGTTCAATTCGAACTACCCACCCTTGGTTTACAAATTTCCAACCACATGGTGGTGTGATGTATGGGCTCTTCCTGGCTCCGCTACTCACTCACTAGGAATTGATGACTGCAGTCCGCATTGTTACAACAGCAGCAACAACGACAACGACAAATCAAGGCTCAAAGCGAGAGAAGGGGGAGGGTATATTATGGGGTTGAGCGCTCACGGAGGAAGAAAGAGGAGGAGGACGAGCAGGAGGGAACCACTGCGAGAGGAGAGAAGGGCTTCCAAAGTCCAGGAAACATCAAAAAAATGTGCCCATTGCACCAAGGGCTACGTTTTCTCCTAAATGGAGTTTTTTGCAGTTTTATTGGTTTTTACATCTAGAATTTTTGTGTGTGTGTGTGTGTGTGTGTGTGTATGAATTACCATACCTACAGGAAGAAGTGAGCCGGTCGAGTGAATATACCACCTTCTTCACCGAGCCAAGACAAGACATATCTACCTGTAGTCATAACCACCTGATCCACCGGGTTTCGAACCGAGGCGGACATAGTGAGAGGCTCCAGCATGACAGAGCTCGTGTGAGATGCAAGGGAGTTCCAATCGTTCGCTTTTTCCTTTCCCTTTCCAAAGCTTTACCACGATTCATCATTACTGGAACCGTGGACATGATACTGAATGACGCACCATGTTCTTCATCTTGTTGCCATTCCATTGTCATCCCGGCTGCGCTGACCCTTATACTATTGCAGAGCGGTCGGTCCACGGCTGAGATTCAACGGCCGCATGTCGCGAGAGAAAGGAGTACAACGATTGACAAAGGAGAACACGTACAGACAATGTCTCTACGGAAGACGGTTTACTGAATATCGTTACGAGTCGAGGTACCCCTTCCCTACAGCCCGGTGATCTTTCTGGACGCAGCAATCCTCCCTTCCAGCTTGACACAAGGTACATCCCAAGCAAGAGTTGAGGCATCCAGTCAGCTGCAGCAGGCATGATCAAAGTAGAACCTGTGGCTAACAAGGCAATACAGGCGTTCAAGCGCGCGTTTCGTGCAGCCTCGGTACCAGTGCGACACGACCCTACCAGCATGCACTTCAAAAGATATATCGATGACGAGAACAGAACATCAAAATACAGAGCTGCCCTGATATGAATAGCACTGCATACACATCTCTGCTACTGGGTGTTGACAAGACGACATACGTCATCTGGACAGCAGCGGAGGGGATCGGAGAACGGATGCTGGTTTCCAGCGCACCAAAGAATCAGCAAATTGCCACAAGAGAAACGAATGCAACAACATTGAACAGGCCCACAGACAATATCATCTGTCAAAGCACTTGGAATATCCATCAGCCATCAGTGTGTCGGCTGTGAGTTACTCAATCCGAGGAGACGCGCTGTGCATACTGTGCCATGGCATGTCGTTTGAACTGTGCCCACCTCGGCCACCACCTACATTTCCATCCCTTCCCTCCTCGTCTCTCTGGTCCCAGAGTCAACGACAACAATCAAGAAGCATCTGAGGATTCTATACCGAAAAAAGGCCGTGTCTCTCTATCTGTCTGTCCGTGCCGTGCTCACGGCCCGCCGAATCTCGCTGGGGGGATCAGCATCC